ATGTGTCATCTGGCACAAGGTCATAAAGAGTATCAGATTTAGATAATTTTTTGTTGTTGTTGTTGGTCGTGAGACCTGAACTCTGGGCCTGGGCACTATCCCTTGGCTCTTCAGCTCAAGGTTAGCACTCTACCACTAGAGTCATAGCTCTACTTCTGGCTTTTTCTGCTTATGTGGTGCTGAGGAATCGAACCCTGGGCCTCATGCATACAAGGCAAGCACTCTACCACTGAGCCACCTTCCCAGCCCCAAGTAACAGATTTAGAATTAGGTTTGCCTCCTATTCAAGCCACAGCACCCAGACTTTGACCTGCCTTTTTCCAGGTTGGTCCCTGAAGGCTTTCTTGGGTTATTACTTTTATTTTATTTTCCTGAAACACTCAACTTAAATGGCACAGCAGGGAAATGACAAATGTGCACATGCACGCGCGCGCGCACACACACACACACACACACACACCCCTCTACTGACCTAAATTCCAGGTTTTAATTTACATTGAGCCAGTTAATTAAAAATCTGTGCAGTAAGGAAAGACACTCTAAGGTTGGCTCATCAGATGGCTGCATTCTTCAAGTAACATTTCTGTCCAGCACAAGACACAACACTAAAGAACAGAATGACCAGCTCTGAGACAGGAAAACTGCCTAGCAAGTATTTACTGCGAACTTGAGCCCACTGGTTACAGAAAAACAGATGACCTGCAAACCACCGGCCACCAAGGCAGTATTAGCAAGGGTTTCTGTTAATTAATGTTTAGGAAAAAAATCACTGGAGATCCCTGAAATGAAAGAGATAACTCAAAATCCCCAAAGTACCCTTATCACCAGACTGGTGAATCTGTTTCTTAAGGAAGTCATTATTATCGAGTGCCTACTATGTGGCTGGGGTTTTCAGAGACAGAATCGGATCTAAGCCTCTAATCTCCCCCTATGAGCTAGGTTTGGGTTCTCTGATGGAGTCCTCATTATGGAAATGAGGAAAACCAAATTCAGCAAAAGTCACCTGCGACAAAGTAGCACAGCTGAGATTCCAGGCGAGCTCTTTCCGTCAGGTTTCACCCCTCTCCCCCCAAACCCTTGGCCTCTTCCAGTCTTCCCTTCTCATTCTTTCTGGGTTTTAAAATAGTATTTAGTCGAACACTGGTGACTCATGCCTGTAATCCTCACTACTCAGGAGGCTGAGATCTGAGGATCGTGGTTCAAAGCCAGCCTTGGCAGGATAGTCTGTGAGATTCTCATCTTCAATTAACCACCAAAAAGCCAGAAGAAGAGCTGTAGCTATAATGGTAGAGGGCTAGCCTTGAGTGAAAAAGCTGAGGGACAGTGCCCAGAGTCTGGGTTCAAGGCTCAGGACCAGGGCTCGGTGCAGGTGTGCACACACATACACACCAAAGAAGATTTGAGAACCTCCAAAAGTAATTGTCATTGCATAATATAGAACATCAACTTGTTCAACTCAAAAGGCACTTAATAAGCACCGTGTACTGGGCTCTGTCTTAAACTTAGCAAAGAATATGGCATGTGAAAATGTAAAGTTCGGTACTGCCTGGTTCAGTTTGGTAGGAACAAAAGGTGAATCAATCAGGACAAAAATAATGTCAAGTTATACAGAGTCTCCGTTCAATTATGAAGATAGTGAAGGACGACCCGAAGGCAGGAGACTCATCTGTCACTAGCACCAGATAAGATAGTAATTAAGGCCTAGACGCTGCCAAGTGTGGTGGCTCACACCTTTAATCACAGCTATTTGGGAGGTGGAGGTAGAAAGGTCATGATCCCTAGCCAGCCTATGCAAAAGCAAGGAACTTTATCTGAAAAAGTAAAAGGACTGGAGGTGTGGCTCTAGTGGTAGAGTGCTTAGCAAGCACAGGGCCCAGTGTTCAAATCCTGGTACTGCCAAAGGTGGTAGGGGAGGAGGGGAAGGAAAGAACAGAGTAATGTGATGTGAAGCTCAGCTGTCCACCTTCAATTATACAAGGTGCTCAAGTTTCCTTCCTCAGTTCCCTCTTCTAGCGCTTTTTCGAAAGAACACTGAACACTGGGAGATGAGATGGATTAATATAGAGAGTAGTGCTGTCTGTCCTCATCTCTTTTCCAGTACTGAGTTCCTAGCATTTAGAAACTGTTCAATAAATATTGACTAACAAATGAATTCCCAAATGAATGAATAAGTGGTGTTACTGAGTTAAATCTAGTAGGAAAGTTATGCTCTCCTTAATAAGGCTGTTGGCTCAGAAAAACCTGCCACGAAAAACACAGCTCAAAGAACTAGGTCTGATGTTTAATGTATATTTCACGTGGTTAAGGCATTACTCACTCATTCCACAGCTCCTCACACATGCCCTGCCATTTTGAACAAGCCCAAGGAGCCCAGATGAAGAGATCACAGAGAATTACAGCACTGTCTCCTTCCAGAGGAGGTCCAAGGCCTCTCTCCCCTGCTTCCTCCCCCCAACATCCCCCCCCCAAAATCCCAGGAGTTAAGCTCAGTGGTGTGGGAACCAAACAGCCAGCCACACTCACCCTGCCCCAAACCAACAGTGTGGTCTTTTCTTTCCTGAAATGATCCCTACTCCAAAAAAGCATAAGCACCAACACTGTCATTACAAGACATGATGAAGGATCATAAAAGTACAATCTATTTGAAAAAACGCAGACAGGCTGCTAACAGAGCTACAGAAGGACTGGGGCTTCGTGGCATGCACGCGGGGCTCCTTGCTTTGTGGATGAGGGGCCTCTGAGGTTCAGCAAAGTGGCTGAGTCACAGTTTAACAGACTGGTGGACAAGGGGGACAGGGTCCCCCGGTTTGCAAAACGGGATTATTTTGAGGAGGATGAGAATTCCTCACAAAGGACAATGGAGGGAGATGGAAAGAAAAAGGGGGTCCCAGCCCCAAGAGGTAGGGGGAAGGAGTCACCCCCTCTGGGCTCTTTTTTTTGGGGGGAAGAGGAAGAGGAGCAGTGGGCTTCCAACCAGAGACCAATCTGCCTGGAGGTGGTGGATGGTGACAGGTGAATCCCCTCATTGTGAAGAAGCACATTGTCTTTCCCTCCCCCCTTCCCCCAGATGTTTCCATTCTCAGCCTGGATGTGGAGTTCTCAGCCTGGATGTGGAGTGTGTGTGTGTGTGTGTGTGTGTGCCCTTGTATGTAGATATCATCAATGGGGGTTGTGCTGTGCCCTTCTTTGGCTGGCAAAGAAGGGGGAAGGGCTCTGGCAAATAGACCCTGGAGAATGTGTGGGGATTGATGCGTACCAACCCCCTCCCCCCCACACTTTGCCTTTTCCTCCCCATCCCCCACAGATGATCAAATCCAGGTGAAGGAGTGGAGCTGAGCAGCAGGGCCCGTTTCCAAGGGGTTTGGGGCTGGAGCGGTGTGCCAGGGCCCTGAGCTCGCTCGCTCCTGCGCACACTCACCGGGCACTCCCACACACATACTCACACACGTACACATCTGCACATGTACACGCTCGCGCACACATGAACACACCTGTGTTCACACACACACACACACACACACACACGCACACACTTGGCCGGGCCGCGTCGCGCCTGCTCCATCCCTTCCCGGGGGTCCCCGGGAAACAGACAGGCAGCAACACGACTGAAATCTCCAGAAGGGCTGCATTTCAGCCCCGAGCCCGCCAACCTCCGGCCAAACCACTGAATATATAACAAAAGTTTGACTCCAGCTCCTCCAGTCCCCAGTGACGCTTCTACCATTTCCTGTGGAAAATTGAAGCTTTTGAAGTGTCTCCTCGGGCTTTCGGCGACAGACGGCGGGGCGGCGAGGGCCAGCTCGAACGCACGCGTCTCCACCCTCGCCCTCCCCTCTGCGCCCTACGCGGCTGCGGGTTCGAACCCGCCAGGGGAAGTCTCCAAATCGGGGGAGGGGGCGTGCGCACCGAGAGGGGAGGGCAGATCCGTGGGAGCACGACGCCCTCACCTGACGAGCCTCCCTCCCTCCCGTCCCCGGGGGTGACAGGCGCGGCTCCCCCGCCAGCCCGGAACCCTGAGTGGCCGGAGCTGGACGTGGCCACTGAGGGACTGGTGCTTTGGGTGTGGGTGTGGGGGGGGGGGAAGGGCGTCGGGAGAGGGGGAGAAAACAAACTTGGCGCTGCGGACTCCACCTCTCACCACGCCACACCTCTGCCGGCTGGTCGGCAGGGGCTCTTGCCGCTGGCCCCCGCCCCTTCCCGGGTTACCCCCGGCCAGCGTCCCCCGAGGGAGGGCGGGGAGGGGACAAGTGCAAGAACCCGCGGTGGTGGCCCGATCCTAGCTCGCGGGTACGGGAAAGGCGCATCTGAACCGCGTTCTGGCACAAGATAAATAAATAAATGAGAAGTAGGTACTAGGCGCAAACACCCTCACACCCGCCCTGGAAACTCGCCTTGGGGTTTTGCGCACCGACCCGGACTGCTTTGCGCTCCAGGACCTGAGTGAGGGCTTGGTAAGGGATGCAACCTGCGGGGCTTCTGACGATCTGCAGCTGGGTGGCCCCTCCCAAAGCCCCGGTTCAACGACACCAGGGGGTGTGGAGAGGGGGGGGACACAAGACGAACTTGCGCCCAAGAGTTGGGCGAGTTAGGTGGGGCACC